GAAGGAATCCTAACCGGGAGAAGCTGACTGCAATGGCGCCAATGGTGGTGAAGACAACAACTCCCATGATCCCACGCTACTTCAGGACGAACGTTAACACGATCAACAAAGTACAGTAAGGATACGTGGTGTTCCCTCAGTGCGGCAGACCATGTAGAGGCAGGCGGCGACAACGTGGGAGGACTTGCGGCCGCGGGTCAGGTGCTTCATGAGCGCCATCTTGTAGAAGTTGAAGGCCGTGTCCAGACAGTGTTTGTTCATCTGCAGTTGGTGACCCAGAGTGTTGATGTTGTGTTTGGCTGAAGAGACAAATACAAGAGAATGTCAGTTCACAGAAACATGGTGACTATCTTCCATTTAAACACTTTTTATCATTTAATGTAGGAAAGAGGAAAGAAGTCAAAACTGTATCAAAAAGGTTTAAGGTTCATCCTCATGATTAGTTCAGAAACTTTAATGGAAAATGTCTACAAGCGCATTCATTTGGGGTTTTAAATATAAAAAGGACGAATCAGAACCAGCTGAAGGTAAATCTTCCAGGTAAATCCACGCTGGGATCAAATAAAGTCCATCTTATCTTATTTTTTATTGCCCACCTGTACTCATCATAATTTTTGCCTCCTCTTGCCTAGTTTGACATCCAATTTAAAAAACAAGGGTGACAGTGTTTGCCAGAAGAGATCAGGATGTAAAGTGTTATTACTTCATTTAAGTTTCTGTTTAAAACGCACTTTTATAGGCTTGATTATTTTTCTAACCTTTCATTCACCATCGTTTTATTAGTTTATTCATTGCTAGTGTTTAGTGTTAATTCCATATATTGTTACTGATGGTTTATTGGTTGTTTTACCCTTAAAAGGCCCTTTTGTAACCCTGATTTTGAAAGGTGCTATATAAATAAAAGTTAATTATATTAACGGGTCCATGTCACTGGTTGTCTGGTCAGGGTTCAAGTGTACTCTCACATGTCTCTAAGCTAAGTCAGGACAAGCTGTAAAGTCGTCGTCATGATCGCCTCATTTCTCTATTGGGAAAGACCTGAATGCGGTAAGGCACGTAAACATTACTGTCTGCAAACGAGTCAGGACACACGCCTGGAGACGAGCACAAGGGTCCCATTATACACACGTGTGCAAATGTACATGAGTACAGGAAAGACTGTAACTATGTCATTACACGCAAAGCACAGAAACATCCAACAACACGGCGCGCAAAGCAGTTCAGGTGGAGCAGCAGGTGGACAAAAGTGTGTGTGTGTGTGTGTTTGTGTGTGTGTGTGTGTGTGTGTGTGTGTGTGTGTGTGTTGTTGTGTGTGTGGTGGTGTGTGTGTGGTGTGGTTCATGACCTCGGATGAGCTCAACATGTTGTTACAAACAAGTTGTGTGTCTGGGAATGTGAGGTCTGAGCTCATCGCATCTCGTCATGGTTCAGTTTTAACAGATTTCAACATGGGGGTGACACACACCACACACTACACACACCCACACCATAAACACGTCTGGAGTTTTGTTAATCTGTTTCTCATTATTCAGTAGAATGAGGTCCACACAGCTACTGCATTGAGTCAGATGAAGATGATTCCAGTCTATCTCACCACAAGGTCTATTCAGCGGCTCTGGAGCTTTCCATTGTGGATGAAAAATTCTCAGTTGTCACAGAAATGTTAATATTCACTTTTGAGACGACATGAACGAAAAAACTACCAAACCAAACTGTACAATTCCATCACAACTGATCCAACATCTGCCGATGAAGAGCACATCATACAATCAAAAGTTCTTTAACGTTTACTAAATGGACCTTACAGCAAGAGAGGTTTCTGAACAGCTGATTTCAGGCTAATCAAAGATCTTCCAGAAGACAACGGGTTCAGTTCTGCTTTGTTTTAACATCTACTGTTGAGATCATCGACCCTGAGATAGTACGGTTATTGCTGAACAAGAATGAGAAGGTAAATGGACTGTGCATCATTCATTCATTCAAACACATTCACAGACATTCACACAGCGCCACAGCTCGTCACATTCAGAAAATAACATCAGGAGCAAACTTTGGGTTCAGTATCCTGTTCAAGGACACGCTGACATGCAGAGGGAGGAGCTGGGGATCGAACCCTAAACCTTCTGATTAGTAGACGACCCGTGCTACCGAACTGTCATAGTATAAAGAACACACCACCAAATGCATACAGGAGTTTACTTTAAGCCAATTTACATTAACAACACTGCTCACAACTCTAGTTTGTGGTTCAAATGAGGGTTTAAACATATTTCCTTTATATTCTCTCGTGTTGACTAACTAGGGTGTTCAGGTCCACAGCATCCTAATCCTACGTCCCACATATTGATTGACTCTAGCCTTCAAAAGTGGAACTACTGCATGGAAGACACTTTTAAAATCTGTTTTCATGAAGTGAAGAAAACAGGGACTGAGTTTGATGTCAATAAAGGGTCAAAGGTAGGTCAACCTGTCATCGTCTTTACGTTACGCCTAACAGGGAGAACTGCAAGTCACAATATGCAGATTTAGGCAGAATATGATGGAAATTATTACAAAGAAAAGGAAATGCAGCAACAACAAACACTGGAAAGCTACCAGTGAGGGCAAATATCTCAGACTATTGCATAAGATAATATGAACTATGAAACTTAACCTTTTTATGTTCACTGTATTTCCTCAGTGTGGGAGTAATAATAGTCCTTCACAAGGCCTTAACCTGCAGAGTTCATGGTGTGCTGCTGCACGAGCTGCAAGGGGAAGTTCTTTAAGTTATATAGACATTAAATCAAACTTTTAGACTGAGCATTGGTAACGTGTCCACACAAACATAGCAAACAGTGATGAAACCCATTGAGACGCTGCTGAAAGCTCCAGAAAGAGCTCAAACGAGATTAAAAGAGTCGCCTGTCTTATAATTCTTTAGCAGATTAAACGACGTAATCTCTCAGTTTATTATTGTAAACAATTTATTTATTTAGTAACTCCTTGTTTGTCTAATGAGATCTGAATCAGTTAAAACTGGTTAATAAATGTTTAATTGATCATCTGAAAGCTCAGACACTTGTCCTGGAGCTAAACAAGGAACTAAATATAACAGAAGACATGCAGTACAGAAATACATGAAATAAATACAAATAACAATAACCCAAAAACAAAAACAAGCCAAAGATCTGGAGGCAGGAGACCAAAGAAGAAAAAAACTCCAAAACTTGAAAATTGAAGTCCAAACTGTGTGTGTGAAGCAGCTTCGGTGAAGATGAAAGTTAATTGCTACCCTCATTTCCTAGAAAGTGAGTGTCAGATGATAAGTAGGGCAGACTCTGAACGCCGACGCTGTAATTAGGACTCTTCTTCCTCATCAGGTTTAAAAAATAAAAACGTAAGTTTCCTGCCCTTCATGTGACTCTTCAGCTCAAACCCTCAAAACAGCAACTGATTCCTTAATAGGAGCCTCTAACATAAGTACAGCCTCATAACATTTACAGGAACAAAAAGTGGGACACCCTGAAGCAGCATGACATTTATACATCCACAGAATGTGATCAAAATATCTGGGGAACTGTTTTTAACCAGAATGTACACAAAAACAGACACAGACACACACAGATACACACCTGGATTACAGGTAAAGTAAGGTCTGATTGGACGTTATTACACCAGGGACACACTCAGGAAGTCCAATTAAAACACCAGCTGATTAAAGTTTGTTTAGCACAGAAGAAAAGAGTGAAATAGTAGCTGGATGAAACACTGTGTGTGAACAGCAGGTAAAACCAGTAACAGACATCAACTGGGAACCAATAAGGATGGGAACTGATCACGTTATTGATAGCTATGTCATTATCGATCCCACTTATCGATCCGACTCTGGCTGCACTCATGCTTAGGGTGTCAAATACATGGCATTCTTGGTACCTTCCAACCTGGAGGCAAACGTTCAGTACTAAAGGTGGTAACAGCGAGATGTTGCTGGAGGCTCCAGTGGAAGTTCGTAAGTGGACCAATCACTTTGATTCTGCTTCTCTTACTCATACCGTCTCATTTTTAACTCAATATATTTGACATTTTAAGTCATCAGTCTCTTTCAAGCTGCCATCGCCATTTATTTCCCCACCGTTTCTGACATTTAAAGACCAACAATGTAAGATAATTATAGGCTGATTAATCGATGACGAAAATAATCATAAAGTCTCAGTTGTCACAGAAATGTTAATATTCAACGATGACGTCAGGAGGACGTTGCGGCTTCCTGTTTCTGTTTATTTGTCTCAAGAGGAACACTTCAGAAAATCACTGTTAACACTTCTTATTGTGAACAGTAAATATGTTCCTGCTCATTCCTACCACCCAGCTTGATAACAGAGTCTTACAGTGGAGAGACCTCGCCATTCACACAACTAGTGACTGAGCTCCCTTTGAGTCATTACTTCAGGTTTCTGCCAGTCAGAAACTACCTTCTCTTGAAAGTGCGTCACCCTCAGTTTCTAGTTCCTTCTCCAACATGCAGGTTGTGACAGAAAGATGTTATCCTTCTATGATTCACCACAATCCATCAACCCGCCCACTATGATAGCAGTAAGAACCACATGGAGAATGAGCCGGGGATGCAGATCTCCAGCAAGAAAGCCGTAATGAGATTAACGCGTGCTCCATCAACCCTAGGCATCGTCTCATTCAGCTTCGTGTCACCCACAGACTCCACTATTCAAAGTCAAGGCTCCACAAGATGTTCCCAGACACCAACACTCCCCCTTCAGTGGGATAAATCTAACACAGCTCTCTGTCCCAGGAAAGAAAAATATTGGAGAAACATTTTGAAAACGACACCCACATCAAACCGGATCCTTGTGCAGAGAATCTTCAGACGCCACATCTGTATTAACAAGAGCACAGCAGCAACATCTCTCTTATGGTGTGGAGGAAGTTCCCATTTTTAAGCTGTGGCTCAATTAAACAACCAACATCCTTCATCTTGAGGAAAAATTAGTTTCTCTCTGAAGAACACTCTCTGGCTGCCCTTTGTCTGCTACCTGAGAAACAACCCATAGTGCTCACAGTGTTTACTATTCCTTTATTGTTGTAGACGACTCACTGAGCAGAAGGGAGGGAGGGTGTGTTAAGGGTATATTTTGTTTGTGCACACTGCTTTCTCTTGTCCTACATCTTGTAATCCTCAAGAACATTTCTGCTTACAAATCTCTCAGAAAACGAAGCGACGTTAACTTTTGAACAACGTAAAGATATCTGGCTCTTAAATGTTGAACTGTGTGTGTCTGCTGTTTGGTGCTCAGCAGGTAATGTACAGTGGAGTTTATCAGAGTTTATGCACTGGAAACACTGGTTATGTTTTCATCTAAATATATTGCACATTTTAACTGAATATAATGTATAATAAATGTGCACACAAAAAAAATGTGAATGAAAGCTTGTTTCTATCCACTGTCATGTGAATAAAGCAGCAGTGGAACAATGCAGGAAACAGGATGGAAGTATGACACTTAGTTTTATTAATTTAATGTGATTACTAATGTGAGGAAGGTTGTATCGGATCCGTGGCGAGGGATCACGATGTGTTACAGAGCGACGGGAGAGGGGAGACTGAGCGGAAACAGGTGATCAGTCATGCGAGTTAAATGTTTGCTTATGTGAAAGAAGTGTTCCCGTCTCCCCGTTAAGCGCATGGACTGTTTCTGAAAAAGGCAAAAAACCTCAAGCGAGCGAAAAAAACTCTGTTAAATTTGGGAGGTTTCTCTTTCGAATTTTGCCCTTTTCTAATGCGATACTTCAACGTGTTGATGTAAACGTGGCTACTGAGGCTGAGCCATATACTAAATCTGCTGCTGAGTACGAACAAGTCACTCTTCAGCTGTCTCTGTCAGAGCTGATGATGCTGCTGAGTCATTTGATGCATTGTTAATATTAAATTAACTAGACTAGATGATTCTTGCCTCACACCGCAGTATCAATATATTCATTCACCTTCCAGCTCTACATCCAGATTTATGGGAATCAGACATTGGCCTTTTACTGCAGCTCCAGTTTATGATTCAGACTGTTCAGACAAAGTGTGTTTTCTCACATAAATCTTGCCTGGAGCCGCTTTTTAAAGCTGCATTTAAATTCCAGTTTACGCCTACACCGCGGCGCACCGTGTGGACCAACACATGAGGGACCGGTGATACATTATTGTCCAACACTAATACGGGAGGAGGCGGGGTTTGTGCTCCCAGATATGAATCAGACGGCGGTGAGACGGTGGAGGCGCAGACGGCCGCTGGGGAAAGTTTCTGGAGGACTGAGAGAAAGAAAAGAAGAGCTGGTCCTCTCTCAGAGACGCCTGCAGACTCACAGACGGCCATAAATCTCCCCACAGACCTTACACACACACACACACACACACACGCAGTACAACACTACTCTTACTCACATACACACTTAAAGGGATAGTTGAACACTTGAATCGATACCACTCTCAGTGTCTGTGTGGTAAACAGGAAGCTACAGCCACTTAGCTTAGCATAAAGACTGGAAACAAGGGGAACAGCTAGCCTGCCACTGCCCAAAGGTCTGTTTAATCTGCTTCAATATGAAAACATATAGCACCCAGCCCAGAAAAAGTCAAACATATATAATATATAACACCAAGATTACCAGCTGTTAGATTTTAGACGTGTGCCTGCCCAGTAGGTGCTAAACCAAAGTCTAACTTTCCAATGTTGAACCCTGGATGAACACCCAAAAGGTAACACACACACACACACACACACACACACACTCTCTAACGTTCCAGCTGATGAAGGCTTGTTTACTCTTTATAGGGACGGGTGTCTGCTATAAACACTACAACACTTGCATCAGATAGCTGTTTACTGTATTATATGATCATCATAAATGAATAAAATAAATCTCCAGAGGGGGGAAAAGTACACACACACACACACACTTGATTGCCATCTGTAATGTGTGATATGCAACAGTCTTGAAGGCGTTCAATGATCCAAAACAATATAATAATTGATCATTCCCCTCAGGATGCGTTAAGACTAAAGTCATGAGCCTGGTTTTATAATGTAAGGAATAGAAAGTGCAGATATTTGTGTAAAAAGTTGTCTTTCTGTACTTTGCTCAACAGTTTGTGACCGTGATTTAACCTGTTTATACACACACACACACAGACACACACACACACACACACACACAGGATGACAACAAACATCCTAAACAAAGCCTCCATCCACAAACACAATAACTAAACTCTGTTCCTCCTGTACAGAATATATGAGAAGTATTCACCAACCCTCATCCTCCTCCTATCTGCTCTCACACACACTGCGACTGAGCTAATCCCCAATCCACACACACACACACACACACACATTACTCAGCGTCTGCTGCGGTCTGACAGCTCTGTGACTCTGCAGCTCCGTCGCTGAAACATCATCAGCCGAGCAGACGGTCGTCGCCGCGGTAACCAGCTGCTCGCCGTCGCATCCGAGCTCTGGCGCTCAGCCCGGCTTTCTGGGAGTTGTTGACATGTTTCTACACTCGTGTATATCAGCGTGAGTATCCGGGGACGACCTGAAGGGCCCCTTGAGGTCCCTCCGGGGGGGGCCTCCAAAATAACGAGGAACAGGTCAATTTAGAGCCTGACAGATATAAATCGACCGGGCCGACACTCAGCTTATCTCAGATACAGTGAAGTCTAACAGCAACAACTCTGTCTGAACAACAGGGACACAACCTTCAGTTTGATTTAACGTCTCTCTGAAGTTTTACTGTCCAGCTGCCAAAGATCCAACCGAGAGAAGCTCTGAAGAGATATAAACACACTGCCACCTCCTCTACATGTCTCTCATCATTTAATCCTAATGTTTAATCTTACGTTTTAGTCTTCAGCACTCACTCCACCTCACACTATAGACCTAAAAGATATGGCCTAAAAATAAAACCTCACTCCAATAAAGTTTCACACATGATTAACACTTTATAGATTTTTCCCCTTACAATCAAACTACAAGGAGCCCTTTTCTATCACTGAATAAACTGGCTGAATGACATATCTCATGGATATTTCACATTATATTAAATGCACAACAACAGTACAGAACAGCTGATAAACTGTACATTGAACACAAACAGTGAACACAAAAACTGCAGGAAGACTACAGGAACGAGAGATTTGGATGAATTTTGAGCAGATTATTTTCTTGTGAATGTTGATCAGAGATGAGTTTTAACTATTATCTGTCTGTATTAAGTATTTTTTAAATTATATTTAACAATCATACATAGTCACAGGCTTCTTTTTTTTACAAATTCAATACAAGTTTTCTTCTCATTGAGCTATTAGCTCTTTTGCTGTTGCAGGACGAGGTTGTTTATGAGCGAGTGAAGGACCTCCGAGGACCTTATCCTGTCACATTACTTTAAATGTATGTCTTTAATAATAATCTTAACATGAAAAAACTATTTTATGTAATTTTCTTCGCAGAAATAGATTAAATTCTGAGTACACTGTATATGTTATTTTAAAAGCCTTGTGAAGCTCTGGCGACCTCTAGTGGCCGTCGGTTGTAAACCACTGTATCATTTGAACTTTATTTTTCCTGACTGAAGTTTTAAACTGATGGTGAAATGTTGCACCAGAACTCGCTCTTAAGATGGCAGATGTGTGATTTGGAGCATCACTGCCACCTGCTCAAACAAACAAACCAACAGCAGAGAACATGAATCAAACTGTTCCTGACAGCCTTTATGTACAAACTCCTCTTCACCACTGAGATTCAAACACACCCTCATAATGCTGCTTGGGTCTGTCAGCCTGTATCACACTCAGGAATCAGCTGAGCCGAAGCACACAAACCAACAACGAAGTAGTTAGGCTGGAACATCGAAATTCGCCCAATAAAAACAGCTGTTTAACAGCATTTTGTACGATTATTACAGTTCATCAAACAGAACATGTTGCAGCTTTTCCTGTCTGAGAGGAGAACAAACAGGATAAAAAGATTGAAGGTAAATCTGCTCGGAAAAATGCAGAAAATCCTTTAATTGCTCGGCTGTTGTGTCAGACGAGGTTGAAAAACGCCGACGTGTTGCAATGCGGCTGCTTTCAGAGGAGAGAACATTTGCACGCAATACAGAACACGTGAAGATTAAAGTAAACATGTAGAAACTAGTATAAAGTACAAACAAAGAGTATAAACAACATATTTATCATATATCTTCTGTAAAATCCGTCTGAGAGATAAAAGGTCCTCTGAAGTCGTTTATCTAATCTGTGTTTATAAGTAAAAACTGTACATTAGGAGTGAATGAATGATCCCGAACAACTCCTACAAAACCTCCATATTTCCTGACAGTCACCAGAGTTTAGTTGCATAATGAAAGATCCAAACAGCAGTTTCCATGTGCAGCAGAGGCTTTAATAAAGTCATGTGGCGCCCTCTGCTGGTCACTTACCTCTCGACAGCGTCTGCGCTCTGGACTCCCTGCCCACGCCTAAATGTGTGTCTCCAAAAGACGGGGTGGCGGCTCCTGCAGAGGACACACAGACTCATATATCAGGGAAAGTGCTTTAGATGGATAAGAGTCATTATAAAAGCAGAATTATTCACTTTTACTTAAATTAAATCAAATCAGACTGATGGCTTTAATATGAAACAGTATGTTTTCAATAGGTTGTCAATATATTTTACCACTGAGATTTGAAATCTCTTTTACAAAAGGATTATAGATTCAAACTGTTTGTTCTCTATTCATTCAACACAAATTCTGAATTGAATTTACACTAACAATTATTTATTTTAACTTTTATTACAGATAAACATAACCTAAAGTGGTTAAAGTCAGAATTTTAAGTCATTTTCAAGCAAAACATCCGATGGTTTCAGGTTATTAAATCTGACACTTTGCTGATTTTCTTTGTTTTACATTATAAATATTTAATATATGAATATTTTCGGGCTGTTTTTTGAATAAAAACAAGGCTTTTGAAGGAGTCTCCACTGGCTTTGAGGAAAGGCGATTTTTTATTATTTTCAGACTAATAAACAATAAAGAAAATAATCTGCAGATTAATCGATAATAAAATAATCTGTAGTTGCATCTCCAATAACAGTGGTGGAATGTAACCGAGTAGATTTACTCAATATACATTCACTTCAATATATGATGTGAGTCTTACAAATTAAAACCCACCCAACAGTTGTTACAGTTGATTAATCAATGAGTGCACTGACAGAATAGTTGCCATTTTCATGCAAACATTTAATGGCTCCAGCTTTTAAAAAGGATTTGGTGCTTTTCCTTTTAATTATTCTGAATGTATTTTTAATCATTTTTAGGTTTGGACTGCTGTTTGTGAAGGTGTCGCTTTGCACTGTAATTGACATGATCCTCCTCCACCACCTTCTAATGATGAAAACAATCTGAAGTTGTAACTTAAAGTCAGAGCTGGACGATAAACTAAAAGTTTCCAGCAGTGGGAAAGAAATTTAAATAAAATGTATTACTTCAACACAAGTTTGAAGCACCATACGATAATTTAAATTAATTAATACATCCCAGAATGCCTTGCTTTGTTTGACCAACAGCACAAAATCCAAAAGATAATCAAATCATAAGAGAAAATAAAGAAGCTTGAACAAGAGAATATTTTCAGATTTAACTTGGAAAATAACAATAAAGTAAGTAATTATCTAAATAAAACTATACAACATAAATACATAATCTCATAACTAAAGAAAGGACCAGTGCGTCCTGAACAGATGGATTATTATCGTGGTGTAACAGCGCCCTCTAGTGGACAGTCAGCGGAACTACGACAGACGTGCAGACAGCAGGAGCGAAACGTCCTGCAGACTGAAGGTCACTGACAATCTGGAGGTAAATGTTACACACAGATAAGCAGCTGTGGACGGACACGGACACGGACACGCACACACAGACACAGACA